TTGCCAGCAGATCTCCGTGTATCATTTTTTTAATTTATTTTTTAGGTTTTGGTTATTTTTACTCATCTTTTTTTTTCTGATGCACCATTTCAGTCGACTGAGCGTTGCCAGTGGGAATGTCTTGGGCTGCATGTTCACACCGTTAATCGCTTAACCAAGAGATACACACATCGGAATATGACTGCATACACATATAATAAAGAAAGACTGAATACCGTACATGCACGCGCGTGCGCACCCACAGGACGATATGGACACTTACATATATATATGTGTTTATATTTTGTTTTACAGGCACACACGCACAGGCATGTAATTGACTTTAAAAAAAACAAAAAAACTGAGAACGAATTAAGAATCTGGCGGACATGTATAATATAAAGAACACGGCTTTTGGATTGAGTTATATATTGAATTTCCGGTTTGTTAGCTTCCTTCTGTCCAATTTATTACCTTTCAAGGGCAGACTGTCCGCCTGTCTAAATTTTTCTCTCTTCCACGCCTCTCTCTCTTATATATATATATATATATATATATATATATATATATATATATATAAAGACATTTTTATGTTTATACATTCTTTTTATAGATACAAATATTTAAGTAAATGCTCTGTTTATAATAAACAGTATTAAACAACATTTACCGGCCTGAATGTCCGAGAAATTTTCTCAGAAAATATTCGTCCTCTGACAGGAATCGAACCTGTATCCTATACGGAACCGTCATTTAGCTTGACGTGCCTTTCACCGATTTGTCCACATTTATAATAAACAGTATTAAACAACATTAGCAAGGTCGATTTTACTGTATTTGAACTTCAATCTTCCATGAATCTCTCACGTACATTCATATCTGCTCAATGCGTATACAAATTTAAACAAATGACATCACACATTATGAAATGGACAAAGTCCGACAATTATTTTAAGACATTTTTATGTTTATACATTCTTTTTATAGATACAAATATTTGAGTAAATGCTCTGTTTATAATAAACAATATTAAACAACATTACCGGCCTTTTGCGTCTTAGTGTCATTATCGCCTTGTTCAGGGTGAATTAATTAAAATTCAAATAATTAGCCGTTTCCATAGAGACACATTTGGCATTCATTGACCGAGCAGCCACTACATTTTTCGGGTGAAATTCATGAAATCTTGACAATAACTGTGAAAACGATTTCTGTAACATCCTCCAGATGTCTTCTTAACAAGATATCAGCTGACAACTGATATCGCTACATCATCCATTGTTTAGGATTCGGTTTCCGCTTCCTTCTAAATTCTTCTCATTCTCTTTCACTCAAAGCAATCCCTTGCGTCTTAGTGGCATTATCACCTCGTTTGGGGTGAATTAATTAAAAAACAAAAAACAAACATAATTAGCCGTTTCACTACATAGAATATTTTAGCATTCATTGATCTTTCTCTTAAAACAATTTTTCCGGAAAATAGGTTTATCAAATCGGGTGGCTGCTATCAGTACTTTCCAGTATTGGTGGTGGTGGTGGTGGTGGTGGTGGGGCTATTCTTCCTAATCTTTTATTTGAAGTATTATTAAAATCTTGATGAGGCTATTATTGTCTCTTCAAATTGCATGTGTAATGAATGTCCGGATAATCGAAGAAATTCTATACAGTAAAAAAAAAAACTTTTATATATAAAAATGCAGCTAATGTCTACATGTCCGACTTATTTATCCATCGTTACACCTACGCAAATTAATTACATAAAAGCCGATATTTTCCGTTGTTCAATAACAGATCAATAACCTATAGCTATGTACGTCAATGCTTTCATCGCTTTTTGCAACGTGGGACATTGTATCAAAGGTTTCTAAGAATCTTCAGTTTGTTTATTACGCTTTTTTTCTTTAAAATTTTCTCATTATTTTCGCTTTCTCATCGGTTGTCTCGAAAATTGTTTAGCGACTTCAATGGGCAGCGCAGACATTACCCGGCAATCAGACTTTTCTCTTCGCCATCAAAAAGAGGTAGAAGAAGAAGAAGAAGAAGAAGTCATGCAAAAAGAAGATGAAGTCAAAGAAGAAAAAGAGGAAGTCAAATATATAAGAAAAGGGAGGAGAAAATAATAATAAGAAAAGGAGGAGGAAGAAGAAGTCGAAGAAGAAGGGGAAGAATAAGAATAAGAGGAATAATAATAATAATAATAATAATAATAAGAAGAAGAAGAAGAAGAAGAAGAAGAAGTGGAATCAAAGAAGAAGAAAAGAAGAACGAGAACAAGAGGAAATCAATGAAGAAGAAGAAGTCAAAGGAGAAGAAGAAGAAGAGGCGGAGAAGAAGAGGAAGAAGAAAAAGAATAGGTAGTCAAAGAAGCAGTCAAAGAAGAAGTAGGAAAAGAGGCGGAAGAAGAAGAAGAAGTCGAGGAAGAAGAAGAAGAAGAAGAAGAAGAAGAAGAAGAAGAAGAAGAAGAAGAAGACGAAATCAATGAAGAAGAAGTAGTCAAAAGAGAAGAAAAGAGGAAGAAGAAGAGGCGGAGAAGAAGAGGAAGAAGAAAAAGAATAGGTAGTCAAAGAAGAAGAAGAAGAAGAAGAAGAAGAAATCAATGAAGAAGAAGTAGTCAAAAGAGAAGAAAAGAGGAAGAAGAAGAGGCGGAGAAGAAGAGGAAGAAGAAAAAGAATAGGTAGTCAAAGAAGAAGAAGAAGAAGAAGAAGAAGAAGAAATCAATGAAGAAGAAGTAGTCAAAAGAGAAGAAAAGAGGAAGAAGAAGAGGCGGAGAAGAAGAGGAAGAAGAAAAAGAATAGGTAGTCAAAGAAGCAGTCAAAGAAGAAGTAGGAAAAGAGGCGGAAGAAGAAGAAGAAGAAGAAGAAGAAGAAGAAGAAGTCAAAGAAGAAGAAGAAGAAGAAGTAAAGCAAAAATAATCTATACGGCTTGTAATGGAAAAGCTTTGTGTAAATATGCGCATTTGTCTATCACAATCGTTTAGAGAAAGAAGACAAGGCAATAATAATGGAAAGCAGACGATAAGGAAAATATTAATTAAACCACCGACTACATAATTACAGTTGGATTTTACGCAGGCAAGTTATATTTGCCTGATGATCTCGAGGGGGCGCGAAACTTGACTAGGGTGCCTCGTTGACGGTTGATGCTGTGAAGGGATTTTTTTTGGTCTGTCTGGATAGGCTGGGCGTTGAGCATTGTTATTTACTGATGAGATACGTGTTTGCCTTTTAATCTTTTCTTCTTCCTTAGTTTGGAATTTTTGTTCTGATCTAAAGGGTTTTCTGCTTGTTTCATTTAGATCTTTCGGTATGTAATCTGTTGGTCGTGCCGACATATTAGATTTTTGTATGTATATATATATATATATATATATATATATATATGTGTGTGTGTGTGTGTGTGTGTGTGTGTGTGTTTGTGTGTTTGTGTGAGTGCCTGTGTGTGTGTGTATTCAAACATGTTTGACTGAATATTATAGATCTATATTCAGTTAATTACTGATATCGACTGACAAGTAGACAGTGTAGGAAAATCTGAGTCTGGATGTTCAAGGTAACATCAAACACTTGACAAACTTTTTGCTTATATTAATTCTCTCTCTCTCTCTCTCTCTATATATATATATATATATATATATATATATATATATATATGTGTGTGTGTGTGTGTGTGTGTTTTAGCCTTTTATATTAAATGTGTGTGTGTATTTATATATATATATAATGACATCATATATTATGAAATTGACTAAAGCCGACAGTCATTTAATAGATTTTCTGTTTATACGTAATTTTTATAGATACAAATATGCTCTGTTTATAATAAACAGTATTAACAACATTTACCGAGTAATTTCGTAGAAAATATGTGTCCTCCTACAGGAATCGACCCTGTATCCTGCGAAACAGTCTATCTGTGAATATATATATATATATATATATATATATATATATATATATATATATATATATATATATATATAATAAAAAGGCCTTTTATTATATCCTTACTCTGTCACGGGCATTAAGTTCTACCTGGATTCTATCCTCTTGATTTATTTTTCATACAAATATATATGTATGTGTATGTATGTATGTATATATATTTATATATATTTTAGATATATGATTTCATATGTATATGTATATTTACCACTAATATTATATATATATATATATATATATATATATATATATATATACTATTAAGGCATAATATATAGCTCTGAAATATTACATTGAGCACTACTTTATTATCATCAACACCCAATGTGCGATATGGATATATATATATATATATATATATATATATATATATATATATATGTGTGTGTGTGTTTGTGTACTGACTTTAAGCACGTCTTTCGCGTTACACATTCATAACTGCTCAGTATCATATCCAAGCGTAAACAATGCAATTTTCTAAAGAATTAATCGATTTTTTTTATTTATTAATCCGACACATTCTTATCACTTTAAGCGTTATTTTTAGTGGATACTCATATTTAAGTAGACGTTCTGTCTACTGTTTTTTAACAGTATTTTATTTTCGTCTACCCGAATATTAGAGAAATCCTATTAAAAAAATGCGCTCTCAGGTATGATTTGCACTTACGTTCCTCTTTGCTTGAGAATCTGCCGTTAGATCTGACGTGCTATTTACCAACTCGGCCACGAAGAGCGTCGTCGATTATGCAAGAGGAATATTCCTTTAAGTACATGTTTCGTTTAGATACCCGACAGTTTCTCTTTTATCCGAATCGTAAACCAAGCAATTTCTAAAGAATTAATAGATTTTTTTTTTATCACTTTAAATTAATGGATATTTTTTATCACTTCAAACGCTGGAGAGTGCATTTTTTTTTAATAAGATTTTTCGAATCTTAAAAGTATTTCTAACAATCGGCAACAACTTATCATAATATTGCACACATTTGGTTGTGCTGCATGTGCTTTGTTTTCACTGATGGATATATTGGGAGTAACAGATATTTGTGCCCTGTGTCACTTTGTAGATGTGCTGAT